AAAGAGGGCTGTTGTGTTTTCTCATCTGCCTGTCTTGATGCTCCTTCAGTAGAAAACCTTACCGACCAAGTAACCACATGTTACATTTCTCCTTATTTTACACACAATCTAAGGCTTCATGACATTATTTTTCTCACTGCCCGAGGAATCCTGGACTTGTGCACAGGTCCTGGCGTCTGGACGCTGGAGAAAAGGACGGTCTTGGTTGGCTGCTTTATGGCAGAGCGGCTTCCGAGGCAGGTCTCTCCCCCCGCTGGCTCATGTTCGGAGCACATACAGTCTGGGACTTGTGTGTGTCGCTTCTGTGGGGTGGTGCACAGGCCCTCCTCCCGCATGGTTCCCACGTCCACTACTGTCTGTGGCACTCAGGATGGTTCCCTTGTGCCTCTCCTCTCCAGGATGCCTGAAGCTCAGCAGAGAGTCGGAGGCTGCTTTTTAAACCTGATGCCGCAGATGAAGACCTTGTACCTTGCGTATTGTGCCAACCACCCGTCTGCAGTGAGCGTCCTCACGGAGCACAGGTGCGTCTCCGGGACTTGCCTCCCCGAGCGGGGAGTGGCGTCATGGGGTCCCCCCTGGAGCAGCTTGTTTCTGTCAGATATTACGTGCAATGCAGTGTGAACATTCACGCGTTTATTCAAAGATGATCATTTTAAGTACCCTCGGAATTAGTGCCTGAGAAGTGCTGGTTGGAAGTCTTTGAAATCCTGCTTAGTGCTTTTATAATAGAAAAGGATGTGTTTTGAAGTCTCCCCTTCAGCTTGTACCCTTTGGACAGTGGGTTGAAGGAGCTGGTAAGTGTTCTGGAATGTGGCTGCAGGCTGAGTCCGGGCTGCTGGAATCGCGTTTCTCAGCGCGTAAACACCAGACCACGTGAGACAGAAGTACACTTGCTGTAGGACTAAATGTGCATTTACAGTGAGGCCTGGATTTCTTAGGAAAACATGAAGTTGGAGACCGTTAGCTTTAGCTTTTCACCCCGAAGCAGCGGTGAAACAAGTGAAACAATGGACAGATTGATTTCCTGCTTGTTTGGTAAGACAAGGCCGTACCTGTGTCCTGGAGGAGGGCTGGGCACCCTGGGCAGCGGCGAGGACCACGGGCTCGGCCTGCAGACGGAGTGGGTGATGAGGCTCTGTTTCTGCTCCCAGAAGGGCACACATTTGTATTAGTAAGTGTTTTAGAAAATATTTATGGTTTCTTCTGAAAACGGCAGTTCAGCCATAAATAGCAGTTCAGTCATTGTTTAACCCATAAATGAAGAAATTGTGTTAGTTGCATCAGGGTAAACGCCACGGTGCTTGTGATTTAAATATTTAACCTCAACTTACTCCTAAGTATTTCGGTTTAAAGCTTAGAAACTGTGCTGGGAAGCAGGCATTGCTGAGATTGAGCTGAGGTTGCAGCGTAGCATCCCTGTGAGTGCGCCTGGGTTGTGTGGGCCTGGTGGCAGGGCCTCTGGGTCCGTCAGACCCAGGTTTGAGCCCTGACTGCCTCTCTGAAGCGGATGGGTCTCAGGAGGTCACCCCTCTTCTCTGAGAGCGCTGGCCATAGGGTACCGTAGGCGTGAAGCAGAACATGTAAACTGTCAGGACTGAGTGAGCATGATGAAGGCTCAAGTGCCAGTTGCTTTATTATCTTCTCTGGACTCTGGGTGTTTACTGCTCCGTGTGCTTAAATACTGAACCTCCATTTGTAGTAAAGCATTTCCAGTCCTGCAGCGAAGCAAGCAGTCTTTGACACGGTGATGGAAAGAAGAGAGACTAGGATACACGGCGACCACAGAAATGAAAAACCCATCGGGTCGTCTTCTTCCTCACGCTGCTGGAAGTGTGGGCAGTGTTAGCACGTACCTTCCTAGGTAAACCGTGAAGCATGGATGCAGCTACATGCTCCGGCATCCACTCCTGGGAATGACAAGTTAAATGGAATTTCCACACCGGAGAAATGCAGAGATTACATTTGTGTCTCTGAAAATTCCTCAGGAATTGCTGACACAGCCATGGGGGAGATAAACAGCAAATAGAATGTTAGGGTAAAATTGCACACCTTTTTAATTTTGCTCTCTCCTTCCCCCTTTTTGGTCAGGGGTTGATCCCCTAGGGGTGGGTTGAAAGTATGAAAAGGGGGTGGACGTGAGGCTCCATGCCGAAGGTGACATTTAAAGCAGTTCAGACTGTTGGAGTTTCCTAAAATGTTTAGACGTTCAAGGGGAATGCTCGCAAGCGTGTGCTATTTTCCTCTCTTCTGTACTATTACTTTAATGACTGCTTGTGTCGTAGCTGAAACCTCAGTGGAGCTTTTCCCCAGAATAGCAGGGAGAGAATACAGATGCAGTTCTGAGTGGAGACCTCTGCCCTCCTCCATGTGGCGAGTCCCGGAGCGGGAGGCGGGTGGAATGAGGTCAGGCTCTGGGCCTGTGAGCCCGGAGACGGCGGGAGAGCGTGGAGGCCGCAGGATGCGCTGCCTGTGTGCCCTCCTGAGGTCCCGGGGCAGCGAGAGCGCCCGCTCCACCCGCAGGTCAGACCCTGCTGCTGAAGCGTAAGTCGGGGGATTGAGAGGAGGCTCGCGGGGGGCTGGTGGCCTCTGTTGGCCTTCACTTTCCATTCTGGGACCCTAGCTTGTGGCCTCTTTCCCGCTTCCCTACGCTTGTTGTAGTCTTAAAAGCTGCCACACTTAGGGGTAGATAAATCTGTTTTTTTGCTTGAATATACTTTTTTCTTTTTAAATTTAATTTTATTTATTTTTTTATACAGCAGGTTCTTATTAGTTATCTATTTTATACATGTTAGTGTATATATGTCAATATACTTTTTCAGCATTGATTTAAACGTAGCGTTTTGCAGTTTTAAAGTCTTATTTACAGTCTTATGATCCTTACATTGTGTTAGTTTGAATTCTGAGTATGAATCTTGAAAATGTATATACAGAACCATCACTTCTACTCTGTGACATAAATCACAGCAAGATCCTTTTTTTTTTTTTTTAAGATAAAGCACAGGTCAAACTTATTATTAGATTTGTCCCCAGTCAGCAATGGTGATCTTCTTGCTGGTCTTGCCATTCCTGGACCCCAAACGCTCCATGGCTTCCACAGTATTCATGCCCTCTTTCACCTTGCCAGAGACCACATGCTTGCCACCCAACCACTCAGTCTTGGCAGTGCAGATGAAAAACTGGGAACCATTTGTGTTGGGGCCAGCATTTGCCATGGACAAGATGCCAGGACCCGTATGCTTCAGGAGGAAATTCTCGTCATCAAATTTCTCCCCGTAGATGGAATTGCCACCAGTGCCATTATGGCGTGTGAAGTCACCACCCTGGCGCATAAATCCCGGAATTATTCTGTGAAGGCAGGAACCTTTATAACCAAAGCCTTTCTCCCCAGTGTTCAGAGCACGAAAGTTTTCTGCTGTCTTTGGAACTTTGTCCGCAAACAGCTCCAATCTGTTAACGTAGCTTTATGGATTGGATGAGCAGTCACTTCTTGGTTTCCAGGTCCCTTACCTCGAAGGAGACGTGGCCCAAGGGCTCACCGTTGACGGCGATGTCAGAGAACATGGTAGGGTTGACCTTGGCTGGGCAGCGCGGGAGGTTCTGGGGTGGCGGCGTCTGCAAAGCCAGCAAGATCCTTTTTGACCCACCTCCTGGGGTAACGGAAATAAAGACAAAAATAAACAAATGGGACCTAATGAAACTTAAAAGCTTTTGCACAGTAAAGGAAACCATAAACAAGACGAAGAGACAACCCTCAGGATGGGAGGAAATATTTGCAAATGAAAAAACGGACAAAGGATTAATCTCCAAAATATACAAACAGCTCATGGAGCTCAGTATCAAAAAAAACAAACAATCCAATTGAAAAATGGGCAGAAGACCTAAATAGACATTTCTCCAAAGAGGACATACAGATGGCCAAGAGGCACATGAGAAGATGCTCAACATCCCTAAGTATTAGAGAAATGCAAATCAAACCTACAGTGAGGTATCACCTCACACCAGGTAGAATGGGCATCATCAGAAAATCTACAAACAATAAATGCTGGAGAGGGTGTGGAGAAAAGGGAACCCTCTTGCACTGTTGGTGGGAATGTGAGTTAGTACAGCCACTATGGAGAACAACAGTATGGAGGTTCCTTAAAAAACTACAAATAGAACTGCCATATGACCCAGCAATCCCACTACTGGGCGTATACCCTGAGAAAACCATAATTCAAAAGGGTCATGTACCACAATGTTCACTGCAGCACTATTTACAATAGCCATGTCATGGAAGCAACCTAAATACCCATCGACAGAAGAATGGATAAAGAAGATGTGGTACATGTATACAATAGACTATTACTCAGCCATAAAAAGAAATGAAATTGAGTTATTTGTAGTGAGGTGGATGGACCTAGAGTCTGTCCTACAGAGTGAAGTAAGTCAGAGAGAGAAAAATACCTTATGCTAATACATATATATGGAATCTGAAAAAGTGGTACTGATGAACCTAGTTGGCAGGGGAGGAATAAAGACGCAGATGTTGAGAATGGACTGGGGGACATGGGGTGAAGGGGAGGCTGGGATGAAGTGAGAGAGTGGCATGGACATATATACGCTACCAAACGTAAAATAGATAGCCAGTGGGAAGCAGCCTCATAGCACAGGGAGATCAGCTCGGTGCTTTGTGACCACCTAGAGGGGTGGGATAGGGAGGGTGCGAGGGAGGCTCAAGAGGGAGGGGATATGGGGATATATGTATACGTATAGCTGATTCACTTTGTTACACAGCAGAAACTTGCACACTATTGTAAAGCAATTATACTCCAATAAAGATGTTTTAAAAAAAGTTCAGCTGCCCTTGGGCGGCAAAAAAAAGAAGCACCAGTTCTGTTGAATTATAACTGACGTGTACCTTTTGCATTATCATATGATAGTAGCCTCATAGGCTCATGGCTGCCTGTTTTGAGTGAATTACGGGTTTCGTTTTTTCCAGCACTTTAATTGTGGCTTTTTGCTGGGCTACTTGATGGCTCTCTGTGTGTTCCCCTGGTTGCCGTCTTGGGGCCCATGGTGTCATTTCAGTAAATACGGAGGAGGTACGCTGTGTAAGGATCGCTGGCATCAGTAGAAATTAAGCTGAAAGAGCCTTTGTTTTGTCAGAAAAGCTGTAACCAGCCGTTTTGTCTTGTTTTATTGTAGTACTAAATTTGTTTTTAAAACTTAAAAAAAAAAACTATTTCAGTGATCTATAAAGATTTATAAAAAGTTCTGTTTCCTTTCTTAACTGTGCACGTGTCTGGTATTGCAAGGCTGTCGTGAATATTAAAAGAAGTTGCTTTTGCAAAAATTCCACATAAATTTTTAGTTGTAGGGAATTTTGGGGGGTGGGTGGGTGGGTGATGAGGATAATTTGCTTAGTTTTATTCATTATTGTCTTCCATAACTATGGTTATGAAATTGCACATATAATACTGAAATATCAAAAATGGCCTGAAGAGACTTTTTGACGATTTTTCTTGTGGTAGAAAAGGCCCCAACTGGATTATATTTAAAGGAGTCGAAATGTACTGTTAGTATCATTAAGCTTCATTTTTATGGGACTGTGCTTGATCATTTGTTCAACATTCAGAGAAATGCTGGTAAAATATAAATTTCTCCTCCATAAAGCCATCATTTCTCTCTGCTCACATGTTAGGGATGGGTGGGCTGATCTGAAGAGGCGAACCGTTTCCGAGAGAAAATGTTTGAGGGCTAGGGCGGGCGTGGTGGGCGCAAGACGTGGAATGGCCGCGCGTGGGTAGGGGGCCCCGCCTGGGCTCGGCCACTGTTGGCAGTGGCTCCCGTCTGCAGATGTGCACGATGACCCCTGTCTGAGGCCCGGGGTGGCGTGGGCGGGAAGGATCCACAGTGCGTGTCTGGTGCCGTCGCCCCTGCACTGTCCCTCTCCCAGACATGCGCTCCTGCCTGTGCGTCTCCTCTGCCCGAGCTTGGGGAGGTGGGCCAGGAGGCAGCCCTGAGGGTCGGGCTTGGAAGAGCCAGCCCTGCAAGGAGGGGAAGGCAGGGTGATGGCAGAGCATGGAACCGTGCACAGCGGTGCCAGCGCCAGGCTCCCCCACAGCAGGGTCCCGGAGCATCGCCTGCCTGGCTTCGGAAGCCCAGCCCTGTGGTTTTCCGGGAAAGCCATTCTTCGAAAGCACAGAGTTCTGTGCACAGAGGTGTTGGGTCATGTTGCCTATGAAAGCGCCTGTGCACATAGAGCCCTGGAAGTAGTTAGGCCGCTTCTGTGCTAAATATTTTAAATTGCACCACCATGGCAGGCTGTCTCACAGGAAGGAAGTCGTCATGAGCCTTCCTTCTGATGGAAGTGGGAAAAATGTGTATTGTATATGCTGAGTTGTTATAACGAGGACTTTGTGAAAATTTTCCCGGTTTATAATTTGCTTTGATTTTGATCATAGCTCCTAAAGGTGTATGTATATTTATTTAAAAGGTTGATTTTTGAAAAAAAAAAACTATGTGTAGGTAGGTAGGTAGATGGCAGGTGCTGTTAACTATGCTGTCACTCTTCTTACGCAGCCCAGGACAGCGCTCCGACTTCAGGCCACCCACGTTGTCACTAGCCCCAGCGTAGATAGGAGCTGTCTTCGAGAGAGGTCTTACTGCTTAAGAGACATAAGGCTGATTTCCCAGTAATTGATTAATTTGTTTTCAGCCTGATATTTGGAAGGTTTTATTTCTGAGTTGGTTTAGTCGAGTCAGATACCTTCCCCTTTGGATATGTCAGCAGAATCGATGTGCAGGGTTGAGAGTAAGAGGTGGGCAGTGCCAGCACCAGCTCTGCTGTCACACCTCCCACAGAAAGTCACTCTAGGTTGTACCGTAGGAGACTCTCGTATTCACCGCTTTTAAACTAGCAGTTTCGGACGGTTTAGCCTGAGTACCGCGCGTTTTTCGCCAGGAGCCATCAGTGGGGCTGCTGGTCCTAGGAAGCTTGGGCAGGCAGCCACGTACAGCTGGGGGTGGAGGTGAGGCGTAAGGCGGGTTCAGCTGACCGGCACCTGGCGGGGATGGGCTCGGTGATTCTTTAGGACCCCGAGGTTGTCCCGCCCTCCCAGTGGGTGGGTGCCGCCTCTTCTCACAGACTGCATTCCAGGTGTCCTCCGTCCCCCGGTGTCTGGAGGGACACGTCTCGGCAGCAGTGAGGGGCACAGACTGGCTTCCTCCCACGGACCCTTTATAAATGTCATCTGTCCCTCAGTGCAGAGACAGAAGCACAGAGTTTCAGTCACAGACGTGAGCCACAAATGTGTGGGTGACAGAGCTTGACCCACAGCTGGGCCCCTGACCTTCCTAGGGTCTTCCTGAACTGGAGCCCCCAGGGCGGCACAGGGCACGATGCGGGGCAGCTCAGGAGGGCGTTGCCACTGGAGCGTTAGGTGGAAGGTGGTGAGGGTGAGGGTGACAGAGGAGGAGTACGGTATTGAAGACGTGCTCTTAGAGTTGATTTAGCTTCTGAGTGTATACTAGGTGTCCTCACCTACAGATGCGGAAAACTTTCTTCACACACATTGGGAGGGTTAAATGAAATGATGATGCGAAAATGCTTTTGAAAGTTTAAAGCCCGAGTATGTGTGAGTTACTTTATCGTGCTGCATTGTGCAGCCGCCTTTGGGGACTAAAGCACCAGGAGGGTCAGCGCCATGATTCAGTTTGTTGTAGTCGGGACGCATCTCCTGACACGTTTTACTGTCTTGAGGTTCCAGGTAACGGGGCCCTGTTCTTGCGCTCAGAAGGCCACTCACATTCCCACTCTTCCACCGGAAAGTGCCTCGCTGAGGTGGCCTTTCGTGATGGGTGGGGGGGGGGGTTGCTGGGAAACCACAGGTGCTCTGTGTTATGCACGTGTGGTTTTGCTCAGACTGAGGGCGAGAACATGAGCCATGTGGGGATCTCCCCTCTGGTGTTTGGAGATAACCAGCCTGTGTTGGGCTGTGACAGCGGTAGCCTCTGAACCATCAGGGACACCGCGTGGCACTTCGTAGTCCTGGTGGGACTGGGGCAGGGGCGGGGCCCTTCTGAGCTCTAACGGTGGCCTCTTCTCTCCCTGCGTGGCTGCGCGTGGTCAGTGAAGAGCTGGGCGAGTTCATGGAGATGAAGGGCGCCAGCAGCCCGGGCATTCTCGTGCTGACCACCGGCCTCAGCAAGCCGTTCATGCGCCTGGACAAGTACCCTGCGCTGCTCAAGGAGCTGGAGAGACACATGGAGGTATGTATGCCTGCCCCGCCTGCCGGCCAGCCACGCCCAGGAGAGGGCTCCCGGGCCAGAGCCTGCAGAGGGGGTTTAACCAGCGGCCCGTAACTCGGGGTTTTCAGAATGACGTTGTTAAATGTGTACTTGCTTTCCCTTATCTCAGCTGTAGAAAAGCGTCTGCTCCTTCAGTTCCTCTCCCACCCACTGCTGCTGACGGGGGATTTTCCCGTTGAGGTGTCGTATCAGGAACGTGTACTTGCAGCATTGTGAAGCGCATGAGTCATAGAGTAATTAACAGTAAAAGAATCAGCTGATGATACGTATTTACCCTGTGTTCAGATACCAGGCTGTGGGCCTGGGAGAAATTTGGGTTCAGGTTACTGGCTTGGTTAGGTCGTAGGGAACCATTTCCCAAAGGGCAGGCCATCCAGTCTGCCTCACAGCTGTTCCCCTCTGTCCTCTGGTGCCAGAGCAGCAGAGGCCCGTAAGGGCTGGGCATGGCCGTGTGCCGGCCTCCCGCCCCAGGGCAGAGTCCAGATCACTCTGCTCCATGATCCCCTCAAGGACTAAGAAATGGCACTTTAATGCTGCGAAGAATAGGACAGGTTACAGGTTGAAAAGTATAGGGAAGGTCCGAGCCAGTCTACAGAGTGCCTTTCTAAGAAAAAACTTCTCATTATGAAAGCTAATAGTGTGCTTCTTTTATTCAAAGGATTATCATCCAGATAGACAAGATATTCAGAAATCCATGACTGCCTTCAAAAACCTTTCAGTAAGTGATTAAGCATATTACCTTGTTTTTTTCCCTGTCAGACATTATTATGGCAAACGAATGCAGAAGGTTACTTGTGAAGTATAATTTGGATGTACTCTGATGAAATAAAAATAAATATGTAGTAGTTATGCCATGGCTGGTAAACTCTCAGGCTTTACTGGGCTGTGGACACCAGGAAAATGAAATGATAATTGTTTAAATTTTAAAAAGGCACCACATAATGCTAGAGCTACTTACAGTGATTCAGAACATGCTTTTAACCTCATCCCACAGTGTCTTTAGTGACTGAGTGTGAAATGGAATGCTGTTGGGTTTTTTAATCTGTTGTCATGCTGTCTTACTGACTTGAGTTTCTGGAATACGTGTCTTATTTACAGCACAAGTGGAACTTACTCTTTCTTCCCCTCTTCTCAGTCTTCTCTGTTGCGTTCACTAGTAAAAGCAGAAAATATTTTTCTTGCCCAGTCCACATTTTTTCTTCTAAAAGTGGCAGGAATGGCTATATTTTTCTAAAGGTGTTTCTCGTTCTAGAGCTGTTGCGTGTTTTGTCTCTCTTGACTTGATTCCATACTTGTGAAGTAAGCAAATTGTTCACCAGGTGATCTGTCTTAAGAAGTAAGACACAAAGCAATATGGCCAAAACCTAAGGTTCCGGGAGTCCCGTTTCTTCTAACAGCGTTCTGTGCTTCTCAGGCGCAGTGTCAGGAAGTTCGGAAAAGGAAGGAGCTGGAGCTGCAGATCCTGACGGAAGCCATCCGGAGCTGGGAGGGGGATGACATTAAGACCCTGGGCAACGTCATTTACATGTCCCAGGTCCTGATTCAGTGCGCTGGGAGCGAGGTACCGCAGTGCGCGAGCGCCATTCCCAGCACGGCTTTCCTAGGGCCCCTGCACGTGGCCAGTTTGGGAGGCGCCTGCCTGGGACACGGCTTCCCAGCGTTCCTTCACTTTTGTGAGCAGTGTGTCGATGGCGGCTTGTGGAAGCGCTGCCTGCGTTTCTCTTTCTGTGTCTCCTTTTAGATTCTTGGGAATGTTTGTCCTTCGTTGTGGTCTTTGTGGGGCTTTTCTTACCTACTGAAGCAAATGAGTTTTAATACATAAACAGTGCTTTTAGGTCTTTCATGTAGATTGGGTAAAGTTTATGGGGTGGGTGGAAACACTGAGTGTTGGATTTTAGGTTAGTGCCAGGGTCTACCAGTGGACTAAATCCATCTCTGCATTTTGTCCCACCCTCCTTCAGCCTGAAGGGCCCACCTGGTCACCCACTGCCCCTAAAAGCTTACAGGTTCTTTTCCTCCATTTTCTCTCAACCACAGAAAGAAGATTTTACTAATTAAGAGTTAATGGCAGAGCTAAACTCCTTAATCAAATTTTATAAACAGATGTTAACGTGAGCTACTTGTGAGTCTAAGAATTTATCATAATTTTGTTTCCATTTAATTTAGCTCATGAAATTTGGTAGGGAGAAATATCTAAACAGGAAATATGATATAATATTTCATAAGGCCTACTATAAATATTCTCACAACTGTAAAATATGTGTTTTTAAAACAATTATTTGAATTTGCTCTTTTACATTAGGACAAGAATGAACGATATCTTCTGCTCTTCCCAAATATTTTGCTAATGTTGTCTGCCAGTCCTAGGATGAGTGGTTTTATATACCAGGTAAAACACATTTTAAATTTATATTTAATTGTTTATTGTGGATCTGAGCATCATTTCCAGGCTTGTTTTGAGTTTTGTGTTCAATACTACATGCATCTGTTTGTGGGCTGCGTGTAGTGTTGTATGTATAGTGTTACATTCAAATACGTACACACAAGTCCTGTCTGTGCGTTTCGATGTGACTGTGCAAATTAGGATACTTGTGTTAATCCAAAGCAAAAAAAGAAGGAGACTAAAATTTGTGGAGCTGCCCCCCAGGACACAGACTGCTGAGGTGCGGTGCCAGCCTGTTGCCACCAAGTCGTGTCCTGCTTCTTTCCTGGTGGCTGGTACACGGTGGGCACAGCAGCGGGCTAGCTGGAGGGGGACCCGCGGCCGAGGTGGGTCTTGGGCACACGTCGGGTGGTGTACATGGTAGTGGACGATCGTTTAGCCTTTCTGTTGTTGATCATTTTTCTGATTTTCTTTGAGAGAATATGAGAGCTGCTTTAAGAAGAACACGCAAGGGGAAATGTTTTCTTTTCTGTGCGCTGATTTCAAATGTGGTATTAAGTGCTTTATGCTTTTTCTGTCTGTCTAATAGGAGCTTCTAGCAAGGTTTACTGCCTTCTCTCTGTGTAGTTACAGAAGCTTCTGCCTTTCCCATCAATTTTTCAAGGCCTGGCTAGTCACCAGATGCTGTTTCAACAGAAGTCGTCCTTTGTTTTCTCTGAGCTGCGTTTCTGCATACGTAGCACATTGTTTGTTTTGTCCCCGACGAGAGCTCTAGTGGGTCCTGAGTCCAGTGTCCATGGCTTGTTTGTACCTGCACAGAAAGCTTTGCCACCCAAAGAGGAGTGTCATCACACGCTCCAAAAGGAGCACTTTAAAATTGAGAAAGCAGCTATACACGGGCAAGCCTAGAAAAATAATACCTCTTAATTTGTAAGCCTGCCGCTGACTGATGTCTGGCTGAGGGAGCACCTACTCAGGTTCCCCCAAACTGGCGGCTCCTGCTTTAAGTGACCTTGGTCCTTTTCCATCAGTGTTCTCCAGCTTCATGCTTTACACCCAGGAGGCTGAGTCGGGGCCCTGCTTTGACCTGCAGGAGCTGAGGTTGCCGTCTGGGGCAGGCTTAGGCCCCCAGGATGTTGGCATTGACATGCCACCAGCAGAGCACTGTTCTCCCGCCCTGTGCACAGGTTCCTGGGGGCTTTCTCTCCAAGTGCTGTGACCCACGGTCCACGTACTGTCAGTATTCATTTCTGGCTCTGAGGGATGTTAAAAAGCGCTACATCCAGCAACAGTGAGCACGTCCTGCCCCCGCCGGGGTTGCTACTGCGCTGAATGCAGCCCTGCAGCTTTGTTTCCTGGAGAGTTCTCGGAGCTGTTGGTCACCCCTGTGCCTTAGGACTCTTGGAAGGGCGTCTGCAGTGTCTGCATCTAACCATGGCTGTGCGGTGCTACCCTGTTCCGCCTGCTGAGCCCCGGTGGCCCGTGGCCTGGATGATACCTGTCTCGGGAGGGGAGGGGAGGGGTGGGGAGACCGCCTCGTGCCCTGTGGGATGCTCGGCATCACCCCTGGCCCCCGCCCTGTAGACGTCAGGAGCCCCGTGGGCTGTGGCATTGCCGGCGCCCCCTGCAGGGCAGTACTCCCGCTGCCACCCCACTGAGAGTCCTGCTTCTCGGCGGCGGCTTGGCCCCAGTCCTCGGGGAGAGACTTTCCCTGAGGACTTGCTTGGCCACCGCGTTCCGTGGTGTGTCTGTTATTTGTGCTGGTCCCTTCCGGCCCATTTCTGGCCCCTCTCCGTGGATGTTCCCGCTCCCCTCCCCAAGCCCTCTGTTGTCAGAGCAGATGGGCTGGCTGCTGTTTTCTGCATTTTGTGCAGCGCTCAGCACAGCTCTTGACTTCCTGTCTGGTGGCGACCACGCACAACTACCGTACAGTTCCTCTTGCTCCAGTTTCCTCCTTACTTTGCTTTCAGACGTGGAACTTCCTCTGCATTTCTTTAAGGCAAATCTGTGCTTCCTTTGCATAAAGAACATCATTTAAAATAGCCACTGTAGACTCTAGTTTTTTTTATCATGATGTGTAATATTTTTGTGTCCTGCTGTTGATGTTTAGAGTAACCCATCAGATGAAATTTTTTTTTTTTTCTGGTTTGCTGCCCTGTACCTTTTTGCTGGCTCATTTCTTGATTATAGTATTACGATTTCTTGTTTGAGAGAGAGGTTCATATTATACATGCATTTGGTACAAACAAAAGAGCATTTTTGCTTTACAGAGACAGTTCCTCTGCCATTTCTAAAATCATTTAATATTTACTTTATTAATGGTATCTTCTTTACTAGAAAAGCACTAATTGTTTTTTTTGGGGGGGGGGGGCTTTTTTAGGGAAAGCTACAACCGACAGGAATAACAACACAAAAAC